GTGCTGTCACAGTATAGGGAGAGCAATTAGGGTCACATAACAATGTATGTATAAATTTTTATATGAGAGACTAACTTGAATTGTAAACTTTCAGTTAAACTACAACAATAAAAAAAGGAAAAACAAAACAACAACAACAAAAACAAGCCTATGAGGTAAGTGCTATCATCATTCTCACTTTATAGATGAGGAATCTGAGGTTCAGAGAAACTAAGTAGCTTGCCCAGTCCCATAGCTAATGAGTGACACCACCAAGTTCAGCATCTGGGGAACTTCAGCTCCAGGGATAGATGCTCTAAGCTGGTGCTACAGTGGAAGTGCGTCTCAGCAGGGTGGGCGTCAAGGAAGGGCTGCTCTAGGGAGAGGATGCTTGAACTCGGTTCTAAGACTTCCTAGGCATCCTGATTTTCAGCGTTGGTGAGTAGCCAGCCTTGCCTTCCTGATCCTCTGGTGCTCTTTCTTACCCCACCTCCCCTTTCTTGTAGTGTGAGGACTTCACAGAAGGGGCGAGTTCCCGTGTGCCCTCCCTCATTCCCAATACAGGGACTTGGGAGCTGACTCCAAAGAGGAGAAGATGTAGAAATCCATGTGCTCAGCTCCATCTTCAGAACATCTACAGTAATCCAACTCCACCATTAAAGTCACAGTCCTGTGGGCTTAAAAAGTCCTGAGGTTTTGTGAAGGGTGATGAAAAAATCAGAAATGGATGGTGGTGATCTTTGCACAACATGGTGAATGTAGTTAATGTCACTGAATTGTACACATAAACATGACTGAAATCTTTTGTTACATATATTTCACTGACATAAAAATTAAAAAATATATTAATGTTGTTACTGTTGTGTTAGGTGCTGTTGAGTAGGTTCCGACTCATAGCCACCCTGTCTACAACAGAACGAAACACTGCCCAGTCCTGTGCCATCTTCACAACCATTGTTATGCTTGAGCCCATTGTTGCAGCCACTGTGTCAGTCCATCTCGTTGAGGGTCTTCCTTTCTTTCGCTGACCCTCTACTTTACCAAGCATGATTTCCTTCTCCAGGGACTAATATTTCCTGATAACATATCCACAGTGTGTAAGACGTGGTCTCACCACCCTTGCTTCTAAGAAGCATACTGGCTATACTTCTTCCAAAACAGATTTGTTCGTTCTTTCGACAGTCCACAGTATACTCAATATTCTTCGCAAACACCACGATTCAAAGGCATCAATTCTTCTTCGGTCTTCCTTATTCATTGTCCAGCTTTCACATGCATATGAGGCGATTGAAAACACCATGGCTTGGGTCAGGCGCATCTTAGTCTTCAAGGTGACATCTTGCTTTTTAACAATTTAAAGAGGTCTGAAAAATAGAAAAGTCAACATTGAAAAAAAAGCCTTTTGGGAACCATTCAGAAGCCATGCAGCTCCTCCCTGAATCTGGGTCATGAGCCATGGGCCTAGGCCATGCCCTGCTGGTCAGAGCAGAACTTGGGATAATTGATTCTATTTTAGGAGCACATACATCTAGGGCTAATTAGATCAGCTGAGCCCCAGGTGTGTCTGTGTCCGTGGAACTGGAACATCTCGGATAGATGGCAAATGTGGCAAAACGGACAGAGACAGACAGAGATTCAGGTTGCTAAACTCATTCAGAGCACCCCCTGTCGTTGCATAGACCTCAGCAGCAGGCCAATAGCAGAGGGTAGCTGGGTCAGCATCCCGAGTCCTGCGTGCTGGGTGCTGGGGGAGGCACAGCCGGCTTGCTCTGTGATT